ACAGAATTTCAGCATTTCATGATAATGTCAACTTCACTCTCAGAAATAGTAGAGTATTCCCGGGCGAAGTCCAAGGCCAAATTCATTAAAAAATCCTTCGATATATAGGGATAATATCGATAATATCGAACTGTATGAATGTACATTTTCCCTTATATCGTATGTTGTTAAACCAGTTGATAACATCAGCTGTGTTAATCACTGTAACAGTCCAAGGGTTTTTTTTATGGAGTGGTTGATTCATTCTAAGATGGTCTTACTAATCCTACCGATTTCTGGTCTAGTAGGGTTTATAAGTCTAGTCTTATATATATATATATATATATATATATATATATATATATATTCTGTCAATTTCTATCTATATTCTGCCAAAATCTATTTATCTATATTCTGTCAATATATTATTTTATATATATATATATATATATATATATATATATATATATATATATATATAAATTCAATATCTATCTATCTATCTATCTATCTATCTATCTATCTCATTTTCTTCGTATCTGTCTGTCTGTCTCTTTTATCTATCTCATTCTGTTCGTATCCGTTTCTCTGTCTCTCTCTCTCTCTATCTGTCTATTTCATTCTATCTATCTATCTATCTATCTATCTATCTATCTATTCATCTATCTATCTATCTATATTCTGTCAATATCCTCTATCTTGTATATATATATATATATATATATATATATATATATGTATGCATGTATTCTGTCAATATCTATATTCTGTCAAAATTTATTTATTTTAGATATTTATATTCTGTCAATATCTTTATATATATATATATATATATATATATATATATATATATATATGTCAATATTATCTATCTATCTATCTATCTATCTATCTATCTATCTATCTATTATTCTTTACATGCAGACACATAGATATAATTGTATGGGAACACTATATCATTTTTTATAAACCACAACAATATGTGTATTTAAAAGCACCCAGAATTTGTAGCCCTGAATATTTATATGAAGAGAAGAAATACATTTTTCATATTTTTAGCTTCTTCCATACCCTAATTATTTAAAATTCAACGCACGAAAAAGAGACTTGTAAAATGTTAAGATAAAATAGAAGAGTTGATCATTTAGGAAAATCTAACAAATTTTATATATTAACCTAACTACCAACTTTATCACAGCTATAATTTACGAGAACTTATTTAAGGTGAACATAATTTTTTTTATATTGAATTTAATTTGTATTCTAAAATAATAAAATATTTAATTAACGCAAAACAAAATAATGATAAGTTAAAATTTTTTTTTAATAATTTTATATCACTTGTAATAATTACCACAACGAATACATATAATAAAAACCTTAAGAAATTTAAATAAAAGATTATCTGAACAAAAAAGGGATCGTTTACAAAAGAACACACGCAATGAATTTGTTGCTCACAATAATGAGTTTGAACATAATTTTGATCTAAAAACGCTATTTAAATTAAAAAAAAATCTACCGAGACTAAAGTGTACAGAAATTACATTAATCACGAGATTAACGCTAGTAAATGTGCATCCGGGTTCTTCAACATTTCACCTTTCATGACATATCTTCTATTATTATCACAATGTGGGAGACTTAACAAAAAAGAAGTGATAGCAAAAGAAACTAAATGAAATTGGCTATACTATAGACCCAAACACAGATTTAAAAAGAACAATTAAATTTAAAAGTTTATAATTTCAGTGGTCCCCCTCTTCATTTTGCACATATGTAATAATATCAACATAAACATCACTTTAATCCAATGAAGACCAAGAGGACGAAACGCGACACAAGAAATTTTATTTCATTTTTGTCATTGATTTTCATAACACACACACACACACACACACACACACACACATATATATAGTATATATATATATATATATATATGAAGAAATATAGTTTTAACGTGGGCTATATTTATGGGATAAAAGTTTAATATCAGAGATAGAGCGTATGTAAATATAAATATAAAAGTGAACATTGAAGTCAACATTCAGAGGCGAAAGGCTGGACGCAATCGTCAGGCTGTCCACAATCATCAGGCCGCGAATGTTGGATTTTTCCTCGACTATTTATATATATATGGGTCAGTGGTGAATTGTGGGTAATCTATTCTGGCGGTCATTTTTTGCGGGAGTGGCTTGTTTGTATATTTATTTATTTATTTTTGTTTTAAGAATTTATTTTATTTTCATTTTCATTTTATATTATTTATTTTTTTAATATTTTGATGTTTTATTAACGTAGTAAAAAAAAATTTAAATATTAGCATGAAACAGCCTGTCGCCTCTGAGTGTTGACTTCAATGTTTACTTTATATATATATATATATATATATATATATATATATTCAGTTGTATGGATATAAGTTTGTGACTTTTTATTTTTCATGCTTTTAATTCTATTTCAAAAATTGGGACCGTGGTTTTTATGTGTAAATGTTCCTTTCAACACAGGGGCGGGTAGGGGTTCCTTGACATTTTTTATTTTCTACCAATATGAACCGTCAGACAAATTTATAAAATTAACACACAGAGATGCACACATGCAGACGCGCACATACACCCCTATTTGTCTGGGTCTTTTACCGCCAATTTGGTTAAATTTGCTTCTGTTTGTTATGATGATGTTGCTGTTTTGTTTTCAACGCTGACTGCTTGACGATTGTAATTATGCTGGAAACAATAATAACTGTGATATATATATATATATATATATATATATATATATATATATATATATATATATATATTAAATTTTTTTTTAGATACTAATATTTAAGTAAATGCTCTGTTTATAATAAACAGTATTAACAACATTTTACCGGTCTGAATGTCCGAGAAATTTTCATAAAATAAAAGCAGTAAAATCGACCTTGCTAATCGAAAACACTCCTCTGTGGTTAAATCGGTTAAGAATTCGTCAGGCTATATGACGGTTCCGCGTAGGATACAGGTTCGATTCCTATCGGAGAACGTATATTTTCTATGACGTTCAGTCCGGTAAATTTATTAATTCACTGTTTATTAAAACACAGCATTTACTTAAATATTTGTATCTATAAAAAATAACGTATAAACATAAAAATGCCTTTATATATATATATATATATATATATATATATATATATATATATATATATATATATATATATTTTTGTTATATTAATCACAAACTCATATCCATACAACTGAATATGTTAGCTTTATCAATAATACTGACAAAATTCAATACGTACTGCACACACAAAATAAAATTTATATATATATATATATATATATATATATATATATATATATATATATATATGCATACGTATGTAATGTGGTGAAAATATAGTATGCACTATTTATGTGTTAAGCAATTCGATATCAAATTCAACACCCAGAGGCGACAGTTTGTTTTGGTTCACGCTTAAAAGCCTGACGACTGCGTGCAAGCATGAAAAAAAAACTGTCGCCGTTGGGTGTTGACCTCAATGTACATTTATATATATATATATATATATATATATATATATATATATATATATATATATATATATATAAAAGGTTTTTCATTAAGAGGGATCAAAGTCAGCAGGAAATAAATTAAGTAAAATAAATTTATTTATTTCTCTATTGGATCATGTTATTTAAGTCATGGCAATTATGTGTGAAACATAATATCGCCTAAATGTCCGCCAAAGGCTTCGATAATTCCACTCGATGGTCAAAATTTTTGATGACGTCTCTGCATAGTTGCTCCTCGATCTCATAAATATGACTTATTATCTCATCCTTCAGCTGTTGAATTGTTGTTGGCTTATTTGGCATATTCTTTTTTTTTGAGATGACCCCAAAGGAAGAAATCTGAAGGCTTTATACGATCGTGGTGGCCAATTGGCTTCCCTGTTTCGAGAGATGATGCGACCTGGAAAATTTTCATTATATATATATATATATATATATTTGACATTTTCGTTGAATTATTTATGTTCTTTCTGTCTATTTATTTTCAATTGGATCCTTTCATATATTTAGATAAGCTTTTTGTTATCATTATTGAAGGACGAAAAAACTGCTGTGTTGATACATTTTTCTTTTATTTTCGAGTACTTTCGACAAAGCAATATCAGTATCAGGGTATTGTTTATTACAAGATAAATATTGTAGTGTTCATTAATTTCTCTCGACGCCCAAAAGTTTATCCGCGACCATGAAAGGATCCAGTTGAAAATAAGTAGACAAAACATCTCTAAATTATTCAACAAGGACATGTCTCAATGAAAACATGCTGTCGAAATACACACACACATACACACACACACACACACACACACACACACATATATATATGACGTTGTACATTATGAAATGGACAATTATTTTAAGACATTTATATATTCTTTCAGTCACTGGCGTGCTTATCTAAAAAATAAATACGCTTAAATTCACTTTCATCCTTACCGTGTGCCATATAAGATAAGCTTAATAACATTAATTAATAAAATTTCAAAGCCACGAAAACTCGTGTATACGATCGTAAAAAATGACGTCACATATGACCACGCGAGAGTATTTAGATATATTAAATATTTCACTCTCGCTTGGTCATGAAATATCAAATAGCTGCGATGCGATTTTCAAAATCGTATACACGAGTTTGTTGCATGCAATAAATAAAGGCTATCATAATTGTTTCGTCTGTGTATTGTTTAATATATTGCAATGTAACTGTCATCTTTGATAATGGCTTATGGAAGCCGAAAGCTTAGATCGGATTTAAACATGTATCAATATGGTGATTTCCTTTCGTCTTTCAATGATAATGTTATTAAGCTTATCAGACAATATGAACGGAACTTACTTAAAATAAATAGACACAACTTGTCTATATTATTTAATGAAACATGCATCAATGAAAAATTGCTTTCTAAATATACACAATATATATATATATATATATATATATATATATATATATATATATGGATGTATATAAGAGAATGGATCAGTATGTCCATAGCCGAATACACATGTTGACTGAATTTTAATGTAAAATGTTTCACTATGTGATTAATGGAGAATTGTTGGATTAAGTGCACTGACAAGATTTGAGATTATGTTAATAATATGTTTTTTACTCAAAATTTTTCAACATTAGACGACGGATTTATTCATGAATATTCCTGTATATTGGTAGAAAAAGCAATTTTAAGCACATATAAAAGTGGAAAATAAATAAATAAAATAAATAAATAAAACAGAAATGAAATAAAATATAAAAAGAATAAAAAAATTAAACATAAAACGAATAATTAAAACATAAAATAAATAAACCATAAAATAAAGGAATAAAAATAAATAAAAAATGAAAATCCCTAATAAATAAATCAAAATTAAAATCAATATTAAGAAAAGAAAAAAAATAATGAGCGAGTTTTTATTGTCTATGAAGTTCTTTAATCTTTCGGTTTTCCCTTTGCTTCATGACATTGCATCATATAGCCTTTCTCAAAATGTCCCTTGTAAGATTCTGTTTGTTTAGATCTATCTATCTATCTATCTATCTATCTATCTATCTATCTATCTATCTCAGTTTGTTCATATCTATCTGGTACATTCCTATCTATCTATCTATCTATCTATCTATCCCAATTCACATCTGTCTATCTAACTGTACCTCAGTTTGTTTATCTATTTCGAACATTATCTATCTATCTATCTATCTATCTATCTATCTATCTATCTATCTATCTATCTCAATTCACATCTGTCTAACTATACCTCAGTTTGTTTATCCATTTCAAACATTATCTATCTATCTATCTATCTATCTATCTATCTATCTATCTTGTAAGTTCCCTATTTATATATGTGTTCTGTTTGCATAATTTGTTTTTCCATAATTTCCTTATTTGTCAGTTCATTTAATTCAGTTGTAAATAGCAAGGATATATATATATATATATATATATATATATATATAAGTGAACATAGAAGTCAACACTTAGAGGCGACAGTCTGTTTCATGCTAGATACAATCGTCAGGCCACGTGTGCTGTTATTTTTCTCGGTTATTTATATATACGGGTCAGTGGTGCATTGTGGGTAGTCTATTTTGGCGGTTATTTTACCGGAAGTCGTTTATTTCTTTATTTATTTATTTGGGTTAAAGAACGAATGTCCCTTAAACGTTAATTGTTTACAAAACAACGTAATATACCAAGCCACGATAAAATCACCAGATAAGGAAGAAAAAGTATACATAGTAGTAACAGAAGGACCCTGGAAACAAAGAAATTATGCACAAAAAACATCTTTCACAAATAGTAAATATGCAAACAGCACAATGCTTTCTAAGTATATCTGAGAAATTAAAAACAAAACGTACATCACACCAAAAATATCTTGAAAAATAAGGAAAAGATCATCAGCCTACAACAACCAATCAAAAACTTGCAAACTTTGCTTAGAAGAAAAAATAGCTATCATTATCTTCCCAGACCAAAATAAATTATTAAATAAAAGATCCGAGCTCATCTCAAAATGCAGACATGAAAACAAATTTTTACTACGTTACTTAAAAATCGAAAACGGAAAAAATAAAAGAAAAGAAAAATAGTAAATAAATAAATAAACAAAATGACAATAAAATAAGCAAAATAAATTAATCCAAACAAATTACCAAAACACACCCGTTAGAATAGACGAAATAGAATAAAAATAAGAAACAAAATCAATGAACCCAAATAAATAAAGTATATAATAAACAAATTAGCAAACTATTATGGCCAAAATATTAGTTATACTATAAAAATCAAACCAAGAATCGGACGAAAAAATAGCTATAACTGTTATATAACGATAAAAGAAAAAAGTACTACGTTACTTAAAAATCGAAAATCGAAAAGAGAAAATATACAGTATAAAATACATAATAACAAGTAAAATAAATTGACCTGAATTCATCCAAATAAATAAATAAACAAGCAAACCGATCCCGATAAACTAACCGTTAGAAAAAACAAATAAAGATAATCAATCCAAATAAATACATGAACTAATAAACAAATTAAAAACTGTTCCCGCCAAAATAATAGTTTGAATAAACTACCACAATCAACTCCCAAATTGAATAAATAGCTTTAATTATCTTCCCAAACCAAAACAAAACTATTAAATAAGCGATATAAGCAAATTTTTGCTACGTCAAAACACCGATTAAAATAAATAAATATATAAGATAAGAAATAAAAAAAAAAAAAAAAAAAAATGAATATAAATAAAAAAATCAAAATAAAATAACCCAATAAAAAAAACGACTTCCAAAAAATAACCGCCAAAATAGACTACCCACTGACCCGTATATATAAATAGCCGAGAAAAATAACAGCACTCGTGGCCTGACTATTGTATCTAGCATGAAACAAACTGTCGCCTCTAAGTGTTGACTTCTATGTTCATTTTCATATTTACACACGCTCTATCTCTGATATTGAGCACTTTATCCCATAAATATAGCACATCTTAAGACAATATTTCTTCATATATATATATATATATATATATATATGTGTGTGTGTGTGTGTGTGTGTGTGCGTGTGTGTGTGTGTGTGTTTACAGGCGTATGTACTGTTTGTCTGCGCATTAATTTAATGTTAATTGTCGATCACACTATATTTATTCGAAGTTTTTGTGTCCTGGTAAACTGGTCCGTGTGCGTATAGCGTCACTTTTCACCAACCTTCATACTCTGTCTTCCTTCTTCAAAGTCCATTGAAGAGCCATCAAGAGAACGGTGAATAAGATTTAAAAAGAGGGAACAGTAGGGAGGAAAACTGGACCAGGAAGTCAAAATAGCAAGAGGGATCATCATTTCAACTTAGAGCTAAATACATTCTTATTGTTCAAAGTAGAGCTCAACAGTGTTATAAAAATCTCGGAGAATTCCAGCAAGATATCTTTAATCATTTCTAAAATACAACGATTCAAAGCTTAATTTAACAATTCGACAATTTTGCTGTTACACGATTTGGACAATTTTGCTGTTACAATAATATATATATATATATATATATATATATATATATATATATATATATATGTATGTATGTTTACGGGCGTCTTTACTGTTTATCTGTACATTAATGTTAATTGTCGATCGCACTATGCCTAATGGAATTTTCTCTGCTGTGGTAAGCTGGCTCATATGCTTATATCGACGCTTTTTAAGAAGGGTATCTAAGTATACTAAGCTAAAGCTTTTCCCTACAAGGCCCATCTTTAATCTTCCCCCTCTTCCCTTGGCCAGTTGGTTCTAAGGAATTTGCAAAACAACTGTCAATTCCTCCCTTAAGTTTGTGACAAGAGTAATTATATTATAAGTCCAAATTATTTTTTTTCTTTTATCTTAAATAGAATAAGTAACTTCCCTATATATGCCCTCAGCCTAACGGCTATGCTTCTGATACCAACTCAAGAGGATAAGGAATACACACGCCCCCTCCACCAAAGAAACCTTCGTCAACCTACCTTCTTCCAATCGGGTTTTAGTCCTCATGTACATGAACGAGTATCCTAGGTCTCTGGCAGGTACGATGATTCTGACCAAAGGAAGAGTTCTATTGTCCTGACCTCTAGGCGGACTAAACACGTACACTCGGAGTATCACGCTTGAATTTTTTCCAGGTTATTCGTCCCCTCGTTAAGGGTGCTGGAGGTAAACGTTTCCTGGGTTTTGGCGCTAGTCAATGATCCGAACTTTCGGGTATCTTCGAAGGAGGCTATCCTATCAACAGGTGTATAATATCGAGGCTATAGTACCGCCATTTTGTGAATGGTTTCAGGAACATGCAGTAGTCTCCGGTCCAGTGGGGCCTCTGGATGACGTTAAGGCTGTATCTCCGGGCGAGTCAACCCAAGTTATTTATGTGTGCATCTTCAATGGATGTTTGTTTCATTGCTTACTAGTCTCCCACCAAACCAACCAAAACAAAAATGAAAGCAATCAAATTGAAAACGAACAAAGCTAACAAACCAAACCTAAAAAAGTAGACTCAAGGTAAACTATCTCTTACGTCAATGTAATGGGGTCGGCGTCCTAACTTTCCAGTGGATGTTTAGGTTTTACGTTAGGTTTGATATGTTTTACGGTATATCAACTTCAATGGATTATTTAATCCCGACAAAATTTTTATTGCTGGTAATATTTTTTTCTAAAAATATATTGCTGGTAATATTTTTTCTTCAAAAATTTATTACTAGTATGTATTGCAGGTGTTAAAACCTATTTTTTACACTTTTATATTGTTTTGACCCCAGTTTTTTTTTGGTGGGGTGTCAACTATTTGCCCATGGCTGACACCCTAACAGGCGTTACCACCTCGAGTCAGGGTGGAACTTCTCAAAACCAACTGATCAGAGGCCTTGCAGTTGGATATAGTTTATCGTCTTACCCAGAACGGTGTCTAAATCGAAAAAAAGTAGACACCAGGTAAACCATCTCTTACGCCAATGTAATGGGGTCTGCGTCCCAACTTTCCTTAAGTGAAACTCCATTATAAACCTGATCCCCTGTTCCTTTCTGAAACGGTTATCAATGCCCCAATCCCATTGCAGGAGCTCACAATCCCGGGATACTCACCCATTATGACAAAATACGACCACCTAAATCGCCACTGTCACGGTCTCGGTGCTTACATTTAGGGTAGATTTCCCTGCAGCAGGGACACGAAAAACGAGGACCCTGATCTCCCGTATATGTGTTTCCGCTTGTCCAATATCCATAGTAACACTTTGGTCTTAGCTCTGTATCGTCCTCAGAATGAAGGTTCGGTAATCTTCGATCGAATATCAGAGATAATTGACAATATCCTCCCCTAATTTCCCTCGGCCAGCTTTCACATACACGGTGACTTTAATGTTGTTGTAGCCTGTTATGGGCCAGAAAGAAAGACGGAAAGAAGAAGGTAGGTCGAACAAGTGTATTGAAATAACAGAACATATATACAAAATAAGAGTGTTATTAGTCAGCAGATAGAAGTGTCCGTCTGAACTGTCAGGTTAGACTGCGTCTCGACTGCGTCTCGACTGCCGATATTTAACAATCCCCCCACTTGGGATGTATGTGGCACAAGGCCGAATTTACCGTGGGTTCTTCGAGCCCGTAGTCTCGGCCAAAAATATCCCCACAGAACCCGCATAAACGGGTTTGGGTCTGTCTACCTTCCCGGACGAAACTCTGCACTTCGGCATAGCTTCGTCCGGGTTTCTCTCTGCCAAAGCAGAGAGTTCGACAGAAGTCACACACAGTCAGAGACTGTGTATTGACTGCCCATATTTAATAGTCGCCCCACGCGGGATGTATGTGGCACATGGCCGAGTTTACCGTAGGCTCGGCCAAAAAATATTCCCTTAGAACCCGTATAAACAGGTTCCGGGTCTGTCTACCTCCCCGGACGAAACTTAGCCCTTCGGCAAAGCTTCGTCCGGGTTCCTCCCTGCCAAAGCTGAGAGTTCGACAGAAGTCGCACACAGTCAGAGACTGTGGGTCGACTGCCGATATTTAACAGTCCCCCCACGAGGAATGTATGTGCCACAGGGCCGAGTTTAACGTGGGTTTCTCCGAGCCCGTAGGCTCGGCCCCAAAATATGACCTTAGAAAATAATATTACCTTAGAACCCGCATAAGAGGGTTTGAGATCTGTCTACCTCCCCGGACGAAACTTTGCCCTTCGGCAAAGCTTCGTCCCGGTTCCTCCCTGCCAAAACTGAGAGTTCCACAGAAGTCGCACACAGTCAGAGACTGCAGGTCGACTGCCCTGCTTTAGGAGGTCTCGCAGGTTAGTATTTATTAAGGAGGAAGAGTTCATTCTAATGTAGATAGATCACCATAAGAAATGTTCACCACAAAGGATGGTTAGTCCACTCTAATATGAACTAACCCAGATCAAGAAACCGCCCAAGTGCCGGATGTGACGGGACAGCAAGCGAACCTCCTCGACCCTTTTTCTAACATGCTGCCCTGACAAATGCACAGAAAAAGGTTTAACCCAATTGTCACGTCAGACCATTCCCTAGTCAGTGTCCATAAACCAATCACATCCCCTGATTTACCGTTCCATAGAACGGTTTTTCGCTACGCGAAGGTAGACTGGGACAACTTTCGCCCCTGTATGACAGCAGCTCCTCCCCAAACTTTCTTCAAACATGCTACCCCCAAAACAGCTGCCCCAGTCTCCGAATGGATTCTTTCTCGAGTGGATTATTTTATACCCCACCAAAAAATCCAGCAAAAATAAAAAAAAACAACAAAAAGCAAACAGTCAGCCCTGGTTTTCCCCTGATTGCGCTGCATCTATAGTTCACCGGAACAACTACTTCGAAAGCTATCACAACGACTGCTATATTCTGGCCCTTACTACATCCAGAACCGTCCACAATCGCTGTAAGAGAGTTCCGGAAAACGCAAAGTGCAGCTTCGCGCGAGCTGTCTAGGGAAAACAAATTGGATCACATGAATTCTGGAAGATCATCAACCGAATTATAAACTGAGGCAAAGCGGCTGCACTCACTATTATAAATGGTTCCTCGACAGACAAGGCGAAGCTTTTCGTCTCGATCTTTGCCTTAAACTCAACGTTAGATGACAAAAGCCACCACCTTCCCAACTTCCTACGTCTCACTCAGTAATATACTGATTTCAGCAATAGAAGTCTCGACCCCGCAAAAGCCACTGGCCCAGACAAAATTCCAGTGGTCTTGTGCGCCTCCGAGTCTTTGTTGGAGAATAATTATTTCCTACCCTACACCCTCTTTCTCACAAGCGGGATGTGGTAAGCCTGTCACTGCTTTATCGCTACTAACATGGAGAGTGTTCGAATGAAGTATATTCCTTGATTACGTCAGGTCTAACATTGACGGCAAGCACCCGCCATATTACTTACATAGTAACAGACCGCCGACATTCCCTCTGTATTCCATGAGCGAGAAATTCCACTTAAACAGCCTGTTCCTAAGAACCACTTCCTTGTGGAACAAACTTCCAACAGGATGTTTGCCTGATCACTAAAATCTTAAGCTGTTCAACCGTTATCTTCCGTCCTATCCATATAAATTACCCCTTAACATAACCCTCTACCTCGAGTGGCGTCGGGCCTTGTAATGGGTGAACCGGACTGTGAAAAAATCCATCAAACATTATACAGTAAAAATTTCAGATTAAATGCAGCTGATAAGTACGTCAGGGGACATATTTATTGATCAGTCCTCATTAATACCCACGTATCTATCTATCTATCTATCTATCTATCTATGTTTGTTCATCTATCTATCTATCTATCTATCTATGTATCTGTATTGCTGATTCTGTTCCCTATCTATCTATCTATCTATCTATCTATCTATCTATCTATCCTTAAGTTTGTTCATCTATCTATCTATCTATCTATCTATTTTAGAGAAACGAGGCCTCAATTTTAGACAGTATGCATTATGTCTACCAGCCCGCGTACACGAGGAAAATTAATAAAGTAAAGGTTATCTTCGACAAGGATCGAACCTGCGTCTCCCCTTTGTAGGACAAACTACTGTCTAATCCGGATGGCTTTAGACTATTCGGCCAGGGAGAGCCACACAGTCCAGCCCAAACCACTTAACCCTTTGAGTCTTGACCACCGGTGTACCGGTGGTAGAGAAAAATGACTTAATGCCCAGTCACCGGTTGAACGGTGGTAGAGAAAAATGACTTAATGTCCAGTTACCGGTTGAACGGTGGTAGAGAAAAATGACTTAATGCCCAGTCACCGGTTGAACGGTGGTAGAGAAAAATGACTTAATACCCAGTCGTCGGTTGAACGGTGGTAGAGAAAAATGATTTAATACCCAGTCGTCGGTTGAACGGTGGTAGAGAAAAATGATTTAATGCCCAGCCACCGGTTGAACAGTGGGTAAACACTTGTAACTATTTTTATATCTACCGTGAAAGATTACATACCAATTATTTGCGAATTTTGATTCAGGAGCTCAGATATAAGGGTTAAAGCCCATATCTGCTCAGCTTTCTATCCGAAATGTAAACAAAGCAATTCCTAAAGAATTAATGCAATGATTCTTCTTTTATGTGCCGTGTCCCTTCAGGACGTAGGCGATCATATTCCTCCACATCCTCCTGTCTCTCGTAGCTTTTAACAAGTTTTGCCTTTTGGCTATTTCTGCCAAACTTTGTCCTACCATCCATTTGCTCATGTCCATCAAGTATGTTACGCACTGTTTTCCTCTGTCCGTCTTTCCCTCAATCTGTCCTGTGAGTATCAGATTTTCCAAGCCCTCCTTCCTCATTACGTGCCCCAGAAATTTCAAATGCCTCTTTCCGATGTTAAATATACATTTACTTTTGGTTTCCAGGGTATTTTTGGGAAAATAATTGCGTCTTGTAAGCCGGAAAATACGGTATGTTATGTGAGTTACAGTTAAGATTTTTATAGATACGGATGTTCATACACGTCATTATCAGAAAATAAGAGCTATAACTATAGTAAATTTAAAGCGAAAGTATCTAAAATTCGATAAAAACATTATTTTAGGTACCTCTCTTATTAGGTACCTCTCTTATTATTATCATAATGAAAGAGGTACCTATAATAATTATAAGTACCTTTCTTATTATGAAGTGCTATGGTATTTTATTTTTTATTAATTTTTATATCATCTCAGTAATTATTTGCATTATTTACATTACTCGGACTTTTATCTTCATCTTCAGTGCCATATTCACAACGTTTCGGCCGTTGTAAGCTCCGGCTTTCTTCAGGTGATTGGACTTTTGAACTAAAGCATTTATTTCGTACACCGGGGTAGATTGTTTTGTTCCACGTGGCATGCCACTTCCGGATGATTCAATCTAGCCCGGTGGACGAAATAAATAGTTCGGTTCAAAATTCCAACCACCTGAAGAAAGCTGAAGTGTACTACAGCCGAAACGTTGTGATTATGGCAATGAAGATGAGGGTAACAGTCCAAGTAATGTAAATAATGCAAGTAATCATAATACCTCATCTCAGAGATATAGCCAGTTAGGAAATTTTAAAATTATTTTATGAAATTGTTATAGTATTTTAAATTTTATTATTAATTATTTTTTCAGACGTAAAGCTATAAAGCGAAGGTATCTGGAAATCAATAAAATATTAGATTGTTTAAAATATTTGCTAATTTTTAAAAGTCACTGGGGAGTTAAAAAAGGAAAAAAAACAAAGCGTTCACTTAGAATTTGTAAAATTTACATCACTTCTGTTCCTCCATATATAACTTTTCTAAGTGTCTAGCTGTTATTAAACCAATCAACACGTTAATAACAACTCCCCGTGGTAAAGAAATACTTTTCTACTACGGTTTTTTTATGCTAAAAGTAATTTTTTTTCAAATCAGATTAATTAAACATTAAATTTCTTAATTTTCTTCAAATAACGTTTCAACAAAGTATATGTTATTTTTTGCAAGATCGTTACCTGAATGAATTCTTGTCGCTAAACTGAAAGGAAAGCCTTTCAACATATCCGCCATAGTTGTGTATGCACCGACAGCACAAAGTACGGAAGAAGAAATCGAAAACTTCTACTTTAAGCTAGACAATGCCAACGCTCAGTGTAAATCGCAAGAGATTATAATTGTCATGGGAGACTAGAATGTCAAAGTAGGCAATGCGCGGTATGGTGAAATAGCTGGCAAATACGGACTAGGAACACGCGATGAACGCGGGGAAAAATGGGTCCAGTGGTCTATGTCCAGGTAGTAGCCAATACCCGGTTTCAAGGACACCCAAGACAAATATGGACACGGAGAAGCCCAGAAGAAACGACAAACCAAATCGACTACATAATTATCAACAAGATATTCAGGAATGCAGCTGTACACTGCAAATCCTATCCAAGTGCTAACTGCGGAAGTGACCACCTTGTTATATATCATTTACGTTGTTACGTTGCGCAGATCAGTACAAAAATTTTAGCGATTGCGCAGTTCAGTGTTGCCAACATTGTGTGAAAATTTTGTGTGAATTGATTGGACGGTTTTTGAAATATTAGAAAAAAGTTATCTCGAAAATAATTTGGCACGCAGTGTATATATATATATATATACATATATATATATATATATATATATGCATGTATATATATATATATATATATATATATATATTTGGGCCGCAACATTACTTTCAGTTATGTTTCGTTGACTATGATATACTTCGTTGCAGAACTTACAGATATATTCTGTGTATTTTGGCAGCAAATGTTCTTTGAGTTAAATATTATTGAAGGCAACAGACATTTTCTGTCGATTAATTTACGTTGCAATTCATGTTGCTCAACTGCTTTCTCGAGAGCCTGTACTTTATAATAATAAAGTTTTCTATAGGGTTGAGGTCAGGAGATTGGGGCGGCCATGTCATAACACTCACCTGCTTCTCATCAAAGTATTCCTTCATCAATTTTGATTTGTGACAGGGAGCATTATCCTGCATAAAAATGAGCTTGGTGGGGTCGATTTACAACCTTTCAGCAGAAGGGAGCAGACAAGACTCTAAAATTCTCTTGTACTGCTCGCTCCTGAGGGTCTTTTCAATAGGTTTTAAGAAACCAGTTCCATGAAAAGAAAAGCATCCCCAGAACATTATACTGAACGGATTCTTGACATTACTTACTGCTAAATTCAAAGAGCTTTCAAACCTTCTTCTTCAGATTTTACATCGCTTATCCTTTGAATTTAGGTCAACTTTCGTTTCATCGGAGAAGAGACCATTTAGTAAAAAAAAATCAGATGAGCCACTTTTATCAAATAGCAGTGTATATATATATATATATATATATATATATATATATATATATATATATATATTTTATGAAAAACTTGGTAATCCGTATTGGTAGACCCATGGAGGATAAAATCCAGAGAGCTCAATGTAAATTCAGATTAAATAATTTAAATAAAAACAGACCACTTTAAGTTTCCATGTAATAAATTATTTCACCACAGCAAAGGGATGTGGTGAAATAATTTATTACATGGAACCTTAAAGTGGTCTGTTTTTATTTAATATATATATATATATATATATATATATATGTCCTCTCCAATATGTAGTGTCTTTTCTATCTCGTAAGCCGTTGTTAATGTGTTCGTTACGAATGGGTGTTTCACGGAGGTGGCCTTGTGCCAACTCCCGGTTAGATATAAATTCATGCACTCGATTGTACGCATGCTCAGCGCATTTAATAGACTCGCAATTGTTGACATTCGGAAGGCACCCCAGCCGCTCACCGATTTTTTCTTTTTTTACTCTTATTTTTTTTTTTGTTTTTCTTACCAAACGCTTTCCTCTGTCTGTCCTATATAAACCCTCCGCGGTTTTATCCTCTGCTATCCCACCGCTTCTTAAATCAGTCCCTACCATACCTGCCTCACCCCTGTTAAATCTGTCCGCTCTCCCGTCGGCAGTCAGCGATAACAAGTACTTCCGGCTTCATGTCGGACAAGACATTGGTCGGCATGCGCCAAACTGTCGACTCTGGTCATTGAACCTTAGAAGAAATCCCTATTTGACGAATCGTTCATCTGTCAGCCGGTGTTAAGCATTTCTGATTGATAAGTTACTTTGCAAATGTGGTTAATAAAAATTTTCTTGTTAAACATTTTTTTCAAAAAAAAAAACATGTTTTTTAAAATTTCTTGAGCTGTCTCTTTTTCTCGTGTGCGAAGCCTGTTCACTTTGTCAGCGTGATTCGTCTAAGTCAGTTGCTTGCCGATCTAACCGTCTACCCGGCTGGCTACACAGTTTTCTTGACATTTGAAGTCGAAAAAACAGCAGTGTATGTGGGCACGGCCGGGTATCAACCGTGTGGTCACCCGCTACCGTATGCCCCATATTACATGTCCTAATGAGATGACTATTAAATTCTTTTATTATTATTATTATTTGATGAGGTGCAAAAAATGCTTTTTAAAAATTGGAAAAAAGGTCAAAGAGAACTCTCTTCAACCTGGCACATGACCCCCTTCACGTCGCGTGGCAAAATCGATTAGGAATCCGAGGGCAAACTCATTAGTAAATTCAGTTTGGCTTAAATATCCGAACCTGTTAAAAAACACGAAAAGAATATGTCCGTTGAATGTTGTAAATAAAATTATATGACAAGGAATATGGCTCAGTCTATAAATATATTGAATTTATTGTATTTCTAAAAGTTCATCTTTATTTAAATATATATTGTTAAATATAACAGACAATGAATGTCTGCTATGTTTGATCATGAGCCGTTCTAAAATACGTATGTTTGCTTTAATTTTGGGTGAAAATAAAGACAAAAATTGTCCAACATTTGGATATTTTTTTACTTAGTTGGTTTTTTTTTCTAAGTTTTCCCTTTTGTCAGCAATCTTCAAAAAAAAATATACACACATTTAAGCAACGATATTCACCA